CACGATTAGTTGGTTTTCTTTAGTTTTATACTTGAATTCCTTTCTCTTTAATTTTTGCATATCTATTACTGGTTTTTGATTTGTGATTATCATTCGGTTTGTATATAACATTTTCTGCATTTGGCAGTCTATATTAAGTTGATGGTCGCTTAAGTTTGAACCTCTTCTTTATTCCACTTGCCCTTATATTTAGGTATATGGTGTCATACTTTACATCCTTTTATTTTGTGAGTACTTTGACTGATTTTTGCAGATACACTTTTTTTTTTTTTCACTGCTTTTGTGTTTCCTACTTTCCTTACTCTTACTTGTGGTCTTTGCTTTTTACTCAAAAAGTCTCCTATCTTAACATTTCTTCTAGGGCTGGTTTAGTGCTCGTGAATTTCTTTAGCTTCTGTTTGTCTGGGAAGCTCTTTATCTCTCCTATTCTGAATGATAGCCTTGCTGGATAGAGTATTATTGGCTGCAGATTTTTTTCCTTTCAGCATTTTGAATATATCATGCCATTCCTTTCAGGCCAGCAAAGTTTCTGCTGAAAAAATCAGCTGATAGCCTTATGGGACTTCCCTTGTATGCGTTTTCTTTTCTCTTGGTGCTTTTAAAATTCTATCACTACTTTTTGCCATTTTAATTACTATGTGTCTTGGTGGGAACCTCCTTGGGTTGATTTTGTTGGAGGCTCTCTGTGCCTCCTGAATCTGGATTTCTGTTTCCTTCTCCAGATTTGGGAATTTTTCAGCTATTATTTCTTCAAATAAATTTTCTGCCCCCCCTTACTTTCTCTTCTTCTGAATCCCTATAATGCAAATGTTATTACCCTTGATGGTGTCGCTGAGTTCCTTAAGTCTATTCTCATTTTGTATAATTTTTTCCCCTCTTACTTGCTTAGCTTGATTGCTTTCTTTTCCTCTGTCCTCTAGGTCACTGATTTGTTCCGCTTCCTCTAGTCTGCTATTTATTCCATCTGGTGTACTTTTAATTTCATTTATTGTGTTCTTCATCTCTGTTTGGTTCTTTTTTTATCATCACTAAGTGTCTCACTGTTGTCCCTCACTCTTTCCTCCAGTCCAGTGAGTATCTTTATGATCATTTCTTTAAATTCTTTATCGGACATATTACTTATCTCCATTTAGCTTAGATCTCTTGCTGTGATTTTGTCCTGTTCTTTCATTTGGGACATATTCTTCTGTCTCCTCATTTTGTCTGTCTTGGCCTCTGTTTCTCTGTGTTAGGAAAGTCAGATATGTCTCCTGCACTGGAGAGTAATGGCCTTATGAAGAGGTCTTGTAGTGCCCTGCAGTGCAGCGTCCCCTGTTCACCAGGACCTGGTGCTCCAGGGGTGTCTTCTAAGTGTGCTGTGTGCATCCAGCTTTTGTGACTGAGCTGATTTCTCCTTCAGTCCGGTCATCTGCAGCGACTTTCTTTGCTTGTTGTGGGCAGGGTTTGGTCCGTGTGGTGTCAGTGGGCCAGTCTGAGGACGCCTGGGGCTTGAGTTGAGTCAGACCAGGCATTTGCCAGAGATGCGGTAGCACCCATCTGCAGGGTGCTCTCCCCGTGCTGTCCACTGAGAGGCTTTTGTTGGTGGGCAGGGCCTGCAGTCAGACAGATGTCTTCCCCCAGCCCACTGCTGGGACTGTAGTCTCACGGGTGTGTGGGGTTATCTTTCCCTTTCCCCGGGGCAGGAGTCACTTTGGAGTGGTGGTCAGGAGGGAGTCCACCACCTGTCCTGTTGGGCCTGCTTGTACTCTGACAGGCCTGTGGCACTGCCCTGAATGGGCTCCAGCCAAAAGGGGCCCTGCATCGTTGGGGCTGAGGCAGGTGTGTCTGCAGGGGGTGGATCAGCCGGGGAGTTGCTTTAGCAAGTTAGGTAGCTACTGCAAGTGCCTCTCTGGTTCCTGCAGGTGGTGGTGTCTTTATGCTGGGGGGCACGGGAGGGAAGTGGCACCTGCCAGCTCCTTCGTGCCTGGAGGGTCTCCCAGTGATCTCTGTCCCTCCAGGACGTGCTCTGAGACGAGTAGGTAACTCTTTCTCCTGCATGTTCCAGGCGTTTTTCAAACTGCTGCATCTCTGCTGCGCCTCTACAGGGCTGTTGTGCAGTCTCTTTAAGCACAGGGCCTCAGTTTCCTCTCTCCGACTCTGTTCTCCTAGTGCCAAGTCTGCTGATTTTAAAGTTTCAGATTTTAAGTCCTGCTCATTGTGAGAACTCATGAAATTCAGTCCCTCTGGTTTTCAAAGCCAAATGTTATGGGGATTTGTCTTCCCTGTGTGGGCTCCCTGGTCCAGGGGTCTGTTTCTGTCCTCTCTCTGTGCCCTGGACTCCCTCATGACCATGGACCAACCTGTGGGTCCGTTTAGCTCCTGACCGTGTCTTTGCCCTTTCTACCCTCTTCCATGTGGCTTCTTCTTTACATTTAGCTGTGGTGTTTGTTTCTGCCAGTCTTCGGGTGGTTTCTGGGTTATTTACATTGAAGTGAGTGTTAGCTAGATGTATCCATGGGACAGGGTGGGCTTAGAGTCTTCCTACTCCACCACCTTTCCTAGAAGTCCCAAGCAGCCTAGTAAAATTAAGTTTTTATTTTACACACACAAAAAAAATGGAAAATTGCTGGAGATTTTAAGGTTTGAAAGGGCAGAATTATTTACAAAACAGTCTGTATGCGTTGACACAGCCTAAGTAAAGCCCCTCATAGACACTCTGCAACTCAAAGATTGCTTGAATATGTCCCCACATCGGGCAACTGCCTCAGACATTCTTTGTTTTGGGGATTTGTTATTTAAATGTTGAAAAACAGACAAGGATAATATTCCACAAAGTATAGACACTGGAAAAGGTAAAAGTGAACCAAGCTATTGAAAACCAAAGAGTTGTGATCTAGGAATTGTAAAACATAAGAACGTACGAGGCATGATTATAGTCAGCGTGCCTCGGGAAAATGCTAATATGACCGTGGCTTGTGTTCACTACGAGGCTCTTCCCTTCTCATGATAACTATATGATAGGAAAGCACCAGCATCACCAGAATGGTACCCACCAGACAACAATGAAGTTTTCATCGTGCCAATGGTAGAAACAAATGAAGAATACCAATGAGGTAATCCCAGAGATAGGCAAAGAGAGAAAGACAATGGCAAGACCACCGTGAGCATGCAAGAAAGCCAAGAGCACAGCCAGGCGAGCAGGGAGTAGGAAAACATCAAAACTCTCAGATCCCAGGAGGCACAAGTGGAATGTTGAAGCCACAGGCATATAAGACATGTAATACCCCAAATCTATGCAGATAAACCAGCTCATCTTCTCTCTGTGGCCAGGCTGTGCATAAGGGGTTCTCATGGCTATTTTTGACCCCATCACTGTTGCATTTACCATAGCCAACAAACACCTATTAAAAGATAATAAAGTTACGCCTTTTCAAAATTTTTATTTTTTGCAATCCTGTCTAGTTTTGGCTTCTGTTAATTCAAGTACAGAAATCAATGTGGGTCACTGATTTTTTTATTGAGTAACCATTACACTTCAATTCCATTCTTTCACTGCCCAACTAACTGCTCCACTTTTAAACAATGGCCAGCCATTAATCATTACGCAAAACAGAAGCTATTTATGCAACGAATTCTAGAGCAAGCTCATTTCGTCTTGGCAAAATAGTGTTAGACACCAGCATTTGTGAGATTTCCAATGAACCTTGGCATTAAGAAATTCTTAAATTGAAAATTGCTGTAGGAGGTCAGGAATCAAAACTTTGCCTATATGGAGCTCAGCTGGCCCCAGAGTTAAACATGGAAAACTATTCAAATTCTAAGCAATTAGGAAAATTATCTTTTATTTTATAATCTAAGTGATAGCTATCATTTATTTTCATATATCTTCCTCTTTAAATCTTATAACTGACCGTATTGCTCAGTAACTTCCTCAGCTCTAGTGACCCACGTGCAAAGCTAGACTGATCTGTGAGAGGCATCAGGATTCGTCCCAGGCAACGTCAAGGACCTCAGACACAATTGCTTCGAGTTTCTGTAATTGAGGAAGTCAGTTTCTACAGAGGGAGCACTGAATGAAAACATTACAAGTTTTCCATCAACTACAGAAACAATTAAATGTATAGGTTATTCCAGAGTGAACAAATTCATGTTCTTGAAATTTCTGGCATCTATTTATTTATTTAAAAAACACCACCACCTCAGAGATTTTGGAGATAACAGATGCCAGACTCGATATTCTAACTGGCCAGACGTGATTGAGAACCTGCATGGCCTGAGCTCCCTGCGGAGCCACCCAACGTTAAAGCCTGGGTTATTTTTTGTCTAAATCCACAGCCATAGAAGTCTTATTGTGATTTGTGTCTCCAGTACCCACATGTTGGGATGAGTTGTTGGGGTACCATGCCCTAGAGAGAGGGCTCCTCTCCCGAGTTAAGCAGACAGGTGCTGCTGTGGCACCCCGACCCCACCCCAGGAACCATGCGTTCTAAACTACTAAACACTTCCAGAACACCTTGAATCCTGACAACTTGCTCCAGAACTCAGGCACGAGCGCTGGTCACTTCAAGGTTGTAGTTCACCTTAGAATTCTATCACACTTGACTATTTGCAGGTCTTGGGGGGAACTTTAATAATTCCAATCGGGAAGAGAATGCAGCAGGGAACCTCTACTGATACTCAGATTTCTTAAATCTAAGTAGGTCATGAAATTTAACTAAAAAGACAAGAAAATGAAAGGAAGAAGCTCTAATTAAGTAGAAGCAGGGTAAGATTAAACCCCAGACTACTTTGTTTCCTCACTTTTCCACTGTTACCAAAACTCATTAGTCAGCATCTAACCCAAGATGAGCACCCTGTGACTTCTCAGCCATGACTCTTGTGTATGCCACTGAGCTCAAGCCACACCACTCAGCAGAGCATGAGGACCCCACTTCCCAGGCTGTGTTCAGAAAAGACACACCAGAGCGTGGAGGGCAGGCCCCCACGTTCCTGGAGACGGAGGCTGCAAAGAGGGATCATACCTGTTCCGGCGGCCCACGTGCCTGGGCCAAGCTGTGCCAGGAGGAGCCTCCGCGTGCAGCCTCACCAACCTTAACTCCAAAAGAGTCTTTCCAAAGAGGACCACAAGGGGCATCACCAGAGCCGCCAACCAAAGACTGTCCATTCATCCTTCCTTTCTCTCCATACTTGACAGAGGGCAAAAAGACGTGAATCAGAAGGATGAGCACGTGAAATGCAGGGTGGTGGGAGGCAGGAGGTGCCCGGTGGGTTTCTGGGGAGCAGAGCTGTGGCCCCAGATGGAGACTGCCAGCAGAGAAGGCACACTTCTCCATCAACAAGAAGAGACAATGAGCTGACTACAGACATGGAATGTTCATTTTACTTTGTTTAAAATAAAAGGAAAAAATGTTGTCAAACCACCCTGCACAGAGACCACTGCACAGACTTTGTTCTGCTGTGTTTCTCTGCTAGCGGGAGGTTGGTAGATCTGAAGCCTGTCTAGAGGGAGGGGTGGGCTTCAGGCTGGGACATGCTTCAGGCAAACTGTTAGGGCTCCATCCTGGGGACCAATGCCAATGTAACAATTTCCCTCAGCCTTGTTCTTTACAAACAGAAGAAGGCATGGGGGTGGGCTCTATTTTCTGTAGTAAGATATGAGCCACACTTTTAATGCACAGCAAGAGCCCCGTCTCAGAGACTGCTAAGTGGCATTTTTTTTTCTTGTATCAAAATAAGAATTGTTAAATACTGGATATCATCTTGTTAATAACAAACAATCCTTAGTTGAATTCAACAAGCATGGCAACTCTTCCTAAGTTTTATTTATTTATTTATTTTTAAAAGTTTATTTTATTTATTTTGAGAGAGAGAGCAGGGGAGGGTCAGAGAAAGGGACAGAGAGAGAATCCTAAGCAGGCTCTGCGCTGTTAGTGCAGAGCCTGATGCGGGGCTCAAACTCACGAACTATGAGATCATGACCTGGTCTGAAGTTGGACACTTAACCGACTGAGCCACCCAGGTGCCCCTCTAAGTTTTATTTTAAAAAAGAAAAACCGGGGCGCCTGGGTGGCGCAGTCGGTTAGGCGTCCGACTTCAGCCAGGTCACGATCTCGCGGTCTGTGAGTTCGGGCCCCGCGTCAGGCTCTGGGCTGATGGCTCAGAGCCTGGAGCCTGTTTCCGATTCTGTGTCTCCCTCTCTCTCTGACCCTCCCCCGTTCATGCTCTGTCTCTCTCTGTCCCAAAAATAAATAAACGTTGAAAAAAAAAAAAACTTAAAAAAAAAAAAAAAAGAAAAACTTCCATTCCATTCAGGGATATCATTCTTCCTTCAGAAGTTCCAGAAAAGTTGCCTGTGTGTGGTAGTTTTTTTCACCTTTATTTTAATTTTTACTTTCCTCTACCAGCTTGCTTTGAAAAAGCCACAATTGTGAAAAATGTTACTGACATGTCTTAGAAAAAATTGTGTGTGTAGGGGTTTATCCGTGGTTAAACTATCCGGTTAGTTCAGTACCAAACAGAAGTGTCTGTGGGTTGCATTATGCATTTTTTTGTTTGATAAAGAACGACATTATGGAAAACCAATGGCAGGGCTCTCATCTTACCTGTGGTTTAAAAAAAAGGAGAGAAGAAAATGGAAGAGACAAGCAGGGACTGTCACATTCCCTCAGTGTCGGTGTTTACCCCTCTGGCCCCTGTATGGCTCCTGCCTGTCCCCTGCCACCCAAATCACACACATCTAAGAGGACAATATCCTTGAGCTCAACATCAGTATTTTCTTAGAGCCACGAGAGAAAAATGTGAGAGCTGGGTGAGGTCGTAAGGAGCACGTAGTTCGAGCCTTCGTTTTATAGAAGAGAAAACTGAGGTTCAGCGTGGGGACCATCAGAGTTTACTCGGCAGAGTCAGCCTCGCACAATACGGAAGCTGCGGTGGTTTTTTGTCTTCCTGGAGCCAGGCACAGTAATGCCACCCGAGAGTCTATTCAAGTCAACAAATAGTGAAGGAGCCCCTCTTCAAAGAGGAGGTCTGCAGAGTGCTCAGGGATGCAGCACACACAGGCTGCGTTCATGACCACCTTGAAATAACCCTGGGGTGGGGGTGGGGGCCAACAACAACCAAGGGCCCCGTCACCCCCATTCTCACCCCACGCCCTTGCTGGAAACAGTGACTCTCCTGACAAACAGGCATGACCCTGTACCTCAAAGAGAGCCTCGTTCTTTTCTATCACTGACACATCCTCACAACATCTGAGGAATATTCTGGAAGCTGCACCTGTTGAGCTTTCCAGCGGGAGTCAGAAAGCGCTTGTCACAACCCAAATCACCAGTGAAATGAAGCAGTACTTATTCCAATACAAGACAATATCAGGATTTCAATTCAACCAACACTCCTTATTTTAGTCTATGAAATAAAACTCATTCTGTTGCCAGGGTATATTAGAAATCTGTGCAATTGGAGAGACCCGGAAAGTCTTTAATTTTCTATGGCTCAAGTATCACTTTAAAAAAAACAATGCAAAGTTTTGGGTACAGACATAGAAGAAAACATTTAAACATTCATGCTCTATCACAAAGAGAACGAAAGCATTGACATTTATTTGGTACTTACAATAATCCTGATTTTAGGTAGCTTTTGGTCTGAAGTGGTAGGAGGTGCTCGGTGTTCTTTAAAGCTGTTATCAGAAACAAAGAAAATGCTGTCAGGTGTTCTTGTCTCCTGAGGAAAACACTTCTGTCCTCAGAAGGCACCACTCCTAGAAGCCTTGAGGTCTGAATTCCACACCAGAAAATGCAGCAGCAAAGAAGCTGTGAGATCTATGGTTGCAGTGTGGCCGCTGGGCTCTCCGATGGGCCAGCACGCTCCCGTCAGCATGACGGCACAGGCAGAGAGGTGCACAGAGCCAGAGTTGGGAAGGGCCGTTCCTAGCACCCCGCTTTTTTTTGAGTCAAAATGATAGGTTTCCAGCTTTACTCAGTTATTTCAAGAACACGCTCGAAACTCCTATACAGCATTGATGAACCCAGAGTCATTAGGCAGGTGCAGTGGACTGCTTGCCCAAACCCCGCTTGCACATGGAACTCAGGTTCTCCTTCTACCCTGCTTTGGAAACCACGAGCAAAGACATTGCTTCCAGGCTTCCAGGAAGAAGCCCGCGGCCTTGGTCAATTGCTTTCTAGACTGCCAGGACTCGGACTTGGCTGCTTCTACTCAGTTGCAACCATCTGAGATGTATTTCTTCATTAAAGAGAAGAAAAGGGCGAAAAGCAACCATTAGGAGAAGACGAACCGGCAGCAAGGAGCAGTTGGAAATGAATAGAAACGAGGAGGAGGAGGGTACTCACACTCCACGGGCTTCCTGGTGGCAGAAGGCACTGGCTGATAGAGCCCTGCTGGGCTCGACTGAGAGGGAGGTGCTCAGGAGGAGATAGCACTGGGAGGAGGCACCTAACAGTTTTATACTCAAACTGGCTCTGCACCCCCGCCCCCGCCCCTGCACTTGGCTTTCTCCTCCCACTTCGAGCCCCAGGGCCACAGCATTGCGGAGGACCAGTCCCCTGTCCTGTACCTGATGTCTCTCTCTCTCTCTCTCTCTCTCTCCCTCCCTCCCCCCCAACCTGTCTGCTGTTTCTCTCCCTCCTCCTCCCTCCCTCTCTCTCTTCCTCTCTCTCACTGTCTCTCTGCTGATGTTTCTCTCTCTTCCCTTCCCTCCCTCGCTCCCTCCCTCCCTTCCTCCCTGTCCCTCTCTGTCTCTCTCTGCTGATGTTTCTCTCTGTGTGTGTCTCTCCTCTGTCTCTTGTTTCTCTCTCTCTGTGTCTCTCTCTCTTCCTCTCTCTGCTGATGTTTCTCTCTCTCTCTCTCTCTCTCTCTGTCTCCCCCTCTGGCCTTGATTTGGTGCCATCTCTGTGTGGTGCTCCAAGATCCATGCCCAGGGATAATCCTGCAACTTTGTCTTTTCCCTCTTGCTTTAGCTCCTGCCCTCACCCTGAAATATTTCGGGGAATGTTTGTAACTAAAAAAGATCAACATAGTGTCCCTGAAAACTAGAAACTGAGGGTCAGGTTGCTATACTGTAGGCTCCTGTGCTACGTGACTGCTCCCGGTGGAATTTTCTCTTAGACACCACGCAGCTTCTGCACAGGTGTAGGAATCCAGCAAAGTCCCGAGGGGTGTGGTGTGAGGGTGGGGAGGGCAAGGGGCATGCAATTCATTTTCTGGAAACCTACTTGCTCTTTTCCCCAGTTAGAAGGAACCAAAAATAAAAGTTCCCTGGAATGTTCTTTTTTCCAGGTGTGGATCCCAGGACAAACTCTGCTGCCTTTTAATAGGATGCAAACATTCCATAGCAGAGGAATCTAAAATTCAAGTGAAAAATCCATTTCTTCCCCCATCCTTCTTAAACTTCAGTTTTTGGGGCTTTCTCTGTTATGGCAGGAATCTAACTAACTCAGGTGCACTTCATGGAGCACGGAATTAAAAAAAAAAAAACAAAACAAAAACAAAAAACCAGACAACCCCCAGAAAGCCCTGCAGATGTCATGATGTTTCTGTCTTCTGGGCCTCTGGCCTCCTGTTGGAGCTGAAGGGCTTGTCAGAGGTCCTCGAGGCAGCTGCGACTCTCTGGCTCCTCCCACTGGACACCCACGAAACCACAGGTCTCCCTTTGTGGGCAGCCCCCACTCCTACCTGCTGCAGCTCAGGGTGTGTGTGTGTGTGTGTGTGTGTGTGTGTGTGTGTGTGTGTGTCTGAGGTCTAGGAGGAGACCAGAGGTCCAGGTTCATGATTCCAGTTCTGAGCTTCAGGGAAATCTGCCTCCAACATTTTGTCGTAGGAAAATAAGGAGAAAATAAGCTCCTGGGTTACACTGAAAGGGAAAAATGAATGTCAAGAGGACAGTCAGAGGGCCTGGAATGGGAATGAAAGGAATCACACTAGTTTCTAGAAGTTCCTCGTGCAAATGGAACATAAATCCTTCCCTCACAGCAATAATAACGATCGCGGTAAGAGGTAAGAGTGGTGAGAGTGGTTGAGAATCACTCTGTGTGCTGGGCACTGTGCTAATCACTTCATTCTAATTCCCATCAGCCATTTAAACATTGTAAGAGTCTGGGGCGCCTGGGTGGCTCAGCTGGTTGAGCATCAGACTTCGGCTCAGGTCTTACATCTCATG